ATATTATAAAAGTGACAAAGTAAGTCATATCTCGAATACGCATGCGTACTACATGTCGTAGTTTCAAAGCAGCGTAAAGAGCCATGAACGGACTATGACTTTAAGACTAAAGTCATAGTCCGTTCATGGCTCTTTACGCTGCTTTGAAACTACGACATGTAGTACGCATGCGTATTCGAGATATGACTTACTTTGTCACTTTTATAATATTTTGTGTGTCCCACATACGCATCCTACTTTGTCGTCATATATATATATATATATATATATATATATATATATATATATATATATATATATATATATATATATATATATATATATATATATATATATATATATATATATATATATATATATATATATATATATATATATATATATATATAATTCAATTTATTTTGGTTGTCTAGATATATAAAGTGCTCAATACTATAGAAGTATAGCAGAGCTTATTAGATTGTCTATATCTTAAAATTAAATATCGCTACTCTGAGTTTCACGTCCTTTCTACACGATCATCAGGCGATTTTGTTCACGATTTTGTTACTGAATACGTGATTGCATCATCATCAACCGTTCGCTGACGCGTTAACTTGTTTGTTCGCGCGCGTTCGAATTTCCTGGCGCTGAATTTTTCTCGATGGCGACATTTCGCGAAGAACTCGGATCTTTTGTTCAACAGATTGGTTTTATGTGATTTCATGATTTCTAATTTCTCTTCTATGCACAGATTACAACGTCTACCGCCAGGTACATACGCTGCTGCTCGTTTCAAAATGGACCACTTAATACTGTATTCCCTTTTCTTGTCCTTCAAATCCCATACGTATTTGGAAAGTTCTGTGTCAGACGAGTACGCAGGCTTATTAAACGACTTTTTGTGATTTCTGTATCTAACCTTGAACTCCGTGGAAGTCATTCCAATGTATTCTTTGGTCGTTCCATCATGGGGCGTTGTTATTTCTGCCTTATAAACTACGTTGCTGGTCAAACACTTTTCATTCAGTGGACACACGTTAGATTTCCTGCAGTCACATTCTTTGGGTTCAGGGGTTGTAGAGGTTATATATATATATATATACTATGTATATCGTATATATGGTATATACTATATATATATATATATATATATATATATATATATATATATATATATATATATATATATATATATATATATATATATATATATATATATATATATATATATATATAGCTCAAGTTTTTGGTTTACCAAACACAAACAGTGCTCATGCAATACCATATAGATAGAGCGTAATATAGTTTTTCGTTTTACCTCAAAAAACCACAACAGTCTGTTTCATCCGTATAGGAATCATCAGGTGGTCTGATGATTCCTATACGGATGAAACAGACTGTTGTGGTTTTTTGAGGTAAAACGAAAAACTATATATATATATATATATATATATATATATATATATATATATATATATATATATATATTATATATATATATATATATATATATATATATATATATATATATATTTATATACAGGGTGTATAAAAAAAAACTGAACAGATTTGAAATTGCTCCCAATTTCGCAAAACACCTAGTTGTATCTGGTTTTATATATGTATAGCTTCTTTGGGTACTTATAATGTAAAATAATGAAAAAAATTTCTCGAACTCAAATTTTGTGAACCAGGGGGGTGTGTCTTTTCCAACAAACTAAAAATGGCTCGCGCACAAAATTTAAAAGCTGTAATCATATTTTGAGTTAATAGATAGAAAATTTGTCGGGTTTTTAATTACTGTACAAAATTTCAGACAATTTGGTTTAGTTTAAGCCCTTTAACTATTCATTTTGTTCTAAAAAATCAGCCTTTCGCATGCTTAATTAATGCCTTTACCTAATTTGCATATTGCTGACATATGCAAATTAGGCAAATGCATTAATTAAGCATGCAAATAGCTGATTTTTAGGGAAAATGTAACTTTGCGTGAATAGTCAAGGGGCTTAAACTAAACCAAATTGTCTGAAATTTTGTACAGTAATTAAAAACCCGACAAATTTTCCACCTTTTAACTCAAAATATGATTGCAGCTTTTAGATTTTGTGCGCGAGCCATTTTTAGTTTGTTGGAAAAGACACACCCGCCTGGTTCACAAAATTTGGGTTCGAGAAATTTTTTTCATTATTCCACATTATAAGTACCCAACGAAGCTATATATATATATATATATATATATATATATATATATATATATATATATATATATATATATATATATATATATATATATATATATACCGGGTGTCCCAAAAAAAAGTACTCCGGTTTGATTTATAATAACTTCTAAACAAGTAAAGCTATCAAACAGAAATAACTTGCATTAAATAGAGGAAGGACTAACTTAGATTTTGATATATTACAGTTGTATTTTCCTTAAAAATTCACGGAGATATTAATGTTCAAAATCGGGAGCATATTTTGGGATGTGTCTAAAATTAGCGAAAATCGGCATATCAAATATTAACTTCAGCGTTTGTTTGCTTGATGACATATCAGGCTAACTTGTATTTCAGCGAATTGTCGTTAGGGTTTGTAAGGGATATGGCGTAGATTTAGACTTCTTACATGTAAGCTAAGTCTTAGCTCATTGTTTCCTGAAATATGAACGTACGAAATTATGCAAGTATTTAATAGGTTTTTACAAACTTTACAAATTTATAAGGTACATGAAAGACCATGCAAGGCAGGCGCTTAAATTTTTCTTAGCCTAATTTTTTTATGTTTTTCATGGGTTCAAAACAGAGTTGATTATTTCTCGGTTAGAGCAGGATGAATATTATTCTGCAATGAAGGAAATAATATTGCTTTTTGCAAATACACATCACAGTATCAACGCTACTATTTTGTTACGTTTTGTTTCAAAAATGTTGGATGTCTCCAGGG